AACACTTGTTACGACTTGGGCTCGAGATCGAGTACGAGTGCCTTTTCCGCATGGCTACTTGCGGCGTGTCTTTAATTTTCTGTCGTACAAATACAAATTACACGTAAGAGAGTTTCTTCGTTCCGGGTCGGTCGTCTCTACTACAAACGCAGTTCGAACGTTCTATCAATTTCCGCGATCCGTCGTGAGTATAATCTCGAACTTTCTCTGCATAAAGTATATCCGAATCCCATTAATTTAATATATATATATATTCTTTCTTTACAGAATGAAGAGCTGGCGGTTCTGGCGTTGGCTGCGGCCCAAGAAGACGAAGAAGTGTGAAGGGCGTTCTCCTTCCGCAATCGATGAAGAGAGAACCTTTTCCCTCTTTGAGCGGGGAGAGGAACTCTCTTCCATCGATCGCGGAAGGGGTTCTTTCTTCACGGGATCACCTTCAGGAATAGCGGTTGTCGACAGCATTCTCTGTTCCGCGTTGAACGGAGAGGAGGCATTTCGCCATTCGGACGTGTTCCGAAAAGTGAAATGTCTCCATGTTGACGACATCATCTTTGCCGCACTGAGAGGGGAGGAATGTTTCGATCATTTTTCCCTTTTCCAATGAGTGGGATCCTCTCGTTCGGTGTGGGCAAGGATGCAAAGAAAAAAGCGTCGCTTCGTAAGAGATGCGCACGAGATTTTCCTTTGTTATTGCTGAAGGATATTACTAACTTAGGATAAGAAGGCAAGAGGTTTTTTTATTTGTTTTTTTCTCTTGTTATACTAACATTTAAATTTAAGGTTTCATTTTCTATTTACTAATTTAGGATAAGAAGGCAAGAGGTTTTTTGTTTCTTTTTTTCTTGTCATACTAAACATTCAAACTAAAACCTTAAATTTAATTTACTAATCTAGATGTAAGTAGACAAGGGGTTATTAATTTTTCCCCTTGTCGTACTCACACTAGTTTAGTAATTCACATCCACGCATATAAATAACAACATCCCTCACGCTGAAACACACAGTTCGAACAACAACACATTCGTCGCATCCAGTCACCAACGATTCCATTTGTGTTCATTATAAACAACACCTTTTACAACCCGAACACGTTTCCCAAAATCCAACCTCTGGGTCCACGTTCCGGGAAGCGGTAACGTCGGTCGCAACGGCCGATGGCCAAAGAGGCTCTGGTAACAATTTACTTTTGATATTAATATCTGAATTTCAGGTGTTGTGATGAATCGTTTATTTGTATGTAATTGTCCTCTTATCTCGAGATAACTCGGGCGGGTTACATAGCGTTACAGAAAACTCGGTCCTTTCGGCCCCCAATTTGTTTTGATTTTTGGAATGTTTTTTTTTGTCTCCAAATTTTTTCAAAAATTTTTTCCCGCGCGAAAAAATTATATCGCAGTTTTAATCAACCTTTAATGACGCACGATTAACGCTTAATTGTTTTTCAATGCGATTTTTTTTTAATCAAATTTAATTAATTGTTCTAAAGTTGTAGTGCACGGATTTTACTTCGGTAAAGTTATTTAAAGCTAGTTTCTGATGTCAAAAACGACCTCCAATAGTTTTTAAATTTTTTAATTAATAGATTTTATTATATATGCGTTTAATTAAGTCCGGGGGTCGGAAATCGCAATTAAAATTTGAATTTTTTAAAAATATTTAAAAATATACGGCCAGCTAGTGTTCACCCTACTATAAACCCTTGGCCTCCCGAGACTTCTATGAGAATGTCCCGGGAAATCCAACACCAGCTGTTCTCAAGGCCATCCAGCTGTAAACACAATGACTCATCGGTGTCAGATTTCACAGAAAGGCGAGGCAATGGAAAATAAAATTTGAAGCCTTTTCTTTAAAATTAATGCATTTCATTTAGTTTTAAGTATTTTTTATGTTTAATTACATTAATATTAAAAATTGGTAAAGTCCCAAGGAGTTAACTAACTATACAGATAAAAAAATTTTCAAAATGAAACACAGCAAATGAAAAAGATTTTAGGTGAATGTCATACCGGTATTTATTATTATTTTTTTTACAATAAATTGAATTTTCAAAGGAAATAGAAATGGATTATTATAGATAATATATTATATTTTAATGAGAAACTGTGTATGACTGTAGTAGAATGAAATCATGATAAAGAAAAGCTACATACTGCAGATGAAAACACATTAATTTCTCTAAAGTGTTATTCTTTTAACTTGTGTATATATTTAATTAATATAGCTGTAATATTTTATTTCTCTCTTTGTTTTAATTGCTTGTAGATATTGTGAAAAATATTTGTAATTATATTTATAATTTTATAACATTTTTTAAATTCATACTTAATTGTTTTAATCTTTTAAGATTGTTAAGCGCTTTAAGATTTTGACATCATATAAATAAAAATTGTTAACACTTTTTGATAATTTAACATGTTTAGATTTTAATATTAGGATTTTTAAAGTTTGACCTATTATTTAGTGATTTTGTGTTCAATAGTTTATTTTACTAAAAGGCGTGTATATTTTGAATTATTAATAATTATCAAAAATGAAGATAACTTAAAAGTGTTTAATCATTACTTCAGTTGATTCAAATCACATTTACAATGACTGTCTATGAAAGTATTGATATGGATGTATTTTATTTGACTTTGCTGATTGTTTATTTATGCTGTGGAATTTATATAGGTAGGAATTGTTGTTACAAAAAACTGTTTTTTAAGTATTCTCACATTCTCTGATGTATATTAATGTTATGCTTTAGAAATATTGACTGATCATGATGTAAGTGAAATCTCAAGTTTTTATTTTTAAAGATGGTCTTTATAAATCTGTTAGTCAATACAGTGACAACATTTATATTATATAATACATATGTAGGAAATTATGGATTTTTTAAGAATATGCTGTGTATGTATATATATATATTTTTGTTTATTTCTTGAATTATTCTTGATATATTTACATTGGTTATGAGGAGATAAGGAGTGTAATACGTTTTTTGGTGAACGAAGACATCATGCTAATCGAAATTCATTATAGAATTGTTGTTTCTATATCTTGTTTATACAATAAACTTTATTAATGTAATCAATACCTATTTTTTACTATTTGCTACATGAGTGTCACATCACATTCATCACTCTCATGCTAAGAATGGCAGATTACAGCATAGTTACAATTAAAATAAGGCAGCCGGACGGCCGAGCGGTCAAGGTGGCAGACCACCTCTCTGGGGGAGCCGGGTCGAAAAATCCCCAGGAATTTTTCGGGGGGTGGTCCGTTCGGATATGTCGGGCCTTCTCCTTCACCACCTGGCAGCTCCATTGCGGGCCTGGCCGAACCTATAATGGGCTTGAAAAAAGAGGCCCTCTTAGTGCCCACAGGGCGGAAAGAGTTAAAAAAATTATAATAAGAAAATAAATAGGACAGAAATTGCACCTTTTGGTTTGGACAGCGATAAGAAAACACGTGTGGCAAAGTGTGAATTTTCCCTCTGTCCTCCAGTTGTGCGTGCCACGAACAAGGGGTGCCGGAAAGTCGGCGGAGAATTAAGGTATTATTGTTATACTGTAGTAGTGTATCTTGAACTGAACTTAAAGACGGTGAAATAAACCTTTGGTTTTTTTTATTGGAGTCGTAGTGTTTACTTTATTGGATACGTTTTCCTTTGTACTTACACGGGAAACTCTCTAATGAGTCTAAGCTATCAAGAACTTTATCACATTGGTATCATAAATATAGAAAGAGGGGGATATAAATAGGAAAGAAAAACTAGTAAGGTGTTGACAACGGTTTCAAAAAGTTTAGGAACCCTTGCTTTATATAGTTTCTTTTAATCAATCATTATAGCATAAAGAAAAGATAAACTATTTTTTCGCAATACACACGTAATGCAATGGAATAAATATATTGTAATAAATGTTCTCGAATTAAATGGCTGTTCTGGCTACCTTTGTCATTATTTGGTCCAAAAAAGCTTCGTTGCTAAATTTACAACATTAATATTACTGTTTAAAATTTTGTTTTACATTCTTTAAAGAAAATTATAAAACTAAAGAACGTGATGAAATCTGTAATTATTTATGTATAGTCTATAGGAGTTGAAATAAGTGGGGTGGAAACCGGTCAGCTACAAATACGAGGTTCCATCTTTTTAAAAACCACAAAACCACATAAAAAATCAATAAAGTAAGTTAAAAAAATAAGGTTTTTGTCGTGATATCATTTTTATATAATGCTTTATGTATAACTAGAGCGTATTTCGTTTAAGGCCCGAGACAAATGATTTTACTGTGTCGGAATATGTCTACTATATATAGTCTATATTAATAAACACACACTCTAAATACAGGACGGCCGGAATGCCGAAAGGTCAAGGTGGAAGCCTACCGCTCTGGGAGACCCGGGATTGAATCCGGACGGGTCAAATAATCCCCAGGAATTTTTCGTGAATGGTCCGTCGGGCCCCGTCCTTCACCACCCGGCCGCACCATGTGGGCCTGGCCGAATCCATAATGGGCTTGAAAAAAGAGGCCCTCTTAGTGCCCACAGGGCGGAAAGAGTTAAAATTAAAAAAACCCCTCTAAAATACAGTATATTTAAATATGAAAGTGTCCGCTGGCACGGAAGCGATGACAGTTAATTATCATTCTTTTACTCATCGTCATCGACACGCATTATCGATTGTAAGTCGAAAGTATAACAGATGCAAATATTGACCTATTTTAAATATCGTTTTATCATTTTTAATACAAAAATATAGTTTTATCGAAAGAGTCAAGGTCTAGACACAGAAAAATTTACATTAATTTTAAATTCATTTAATTATTTATATAATTTTAACAATTATATTCTTACTCTTAGAAATATACAAAATGTAATTATTATATTTAATTTAAAAAATAATTTATTTTAAATAATAATAATAATAATAATAATTAAAAAGAGAGGTGAGACGAACTTTAGTCGCAACGGATAAACAACAACAAAAAGTTAAAGTGAAAGAACGAATCCTATTGGTCCCCGGTGTCATTTTTAAAACGAAATGTATGTTGCGCTCGTTGTGATTGGTTACAGTTGAAAGTGCTCGAAATTTGTAATTGTTTGTAGCGTTGTTTTGAAGTGTTTGAGGAAAGTATACGAACGAAGCTTTTAAAAGCTTTATATATAAATAAGCGGATTCGTTATTATAAAATGATTATAAATTCATCACCGTAGCGCTGTTTAAATTACTTCACTATCAAAAGTAAGTTACTGTGTATTGATTTTATACCATTTATGTATTATATGTACCACATTAAACAACCAATCATTACATTATTATTAATAACATCATCATATTTCTATTAAAATTTGACATTCAAATGATATAATGGTGAGCCATAACATACATTTTATACATAACAGGGTAAAAGTTACTTTTAGGTGAATTACATATGTATTTATATACAAATTACCTAAAAGTAACCTCTATTGATACTATTTATAACTGAAAATACAACATTAGCTTGCGGTTATGACGGTTATAACTTCTTTGTTCAAGCTTTTATTCTGTTTTTGCTTTGAGAAATGTCTTCGGAGCAGGGAAATTGCACGTTTTAACTGGAATATATAATGAAGTCACGAAATTCTCTGCTGCTTTTTCTTCTTGAAACCGAGAATAGAATTTATATCTTTTATATGTAACATTTTTACATATAAAAGGACGAAGTATGTTTCGAATGCCGACTTAACTTTTGAATAGTCATTTCTATCCTCTTCTGGGAGATTAAATAACGCCAAAATTTCCTTGGCTTTCTGTCCCATTAAATATATGAAAGAATTTATCTGTTCGAAACTGACCAGGTAAATTCTTTATTGTGGAGACCAGACGCTGTTCTAAATCATTCAAAACGCCCTATCCATGTTCTCCAATCTTCGGGATGAAAATTAAAAACTTCTGGTGCTGGGATCTGATACATTCTCCTCTATGCTGCCACCATGTATTATAAACGACTGAACTGACCAGATAATATAATACAAATAACTCTTTATTAATATAACTAAACATATATATCCAGCTGGTTCCCTCGAGCTACTACCTTGCTGTCCGTTTTTGCCACACCCTTTCTCAATCCTTTCAACCTACGTTGCCACCTCGGCACCTACACAATTACATTTAATGTTTATTTAAATCAACATATATTACAGTTTATGATATGGTAGAATCTGAATTAATTGAGACTGAGCCCCATTCAGATTAGCCGAATAATTGAAATAATGCAGAAGCGAGCATTAAAATGGATCTGGTTTATATAGATCCGAAGACACCAATGATGTCAGTGCCCCACCCTTTATTTCATCTGACTTGTACTTGGTACGGGGTGTAAATGGTTAACAAAAACAAGTTTTGTAATTTTGAAATGGCAACCTACCTTCGTTGTTTACCTTAAAATTTTAACTGTAAAAAATGTTTTTAATACATGGTCTGGGATTCCAATCGGTTGACTGATACTACTGTGTGAGTTAGTGCGCTTTAATTGTGGATGTTGAATGTACTCGTTGCTCAACATTATTTTAGTTTAGTTTAGTCTGCTGCTACAATGGCCACAAAATGGAAACATGTGACATGTACGTTGAAAGATAAGCTGGATGTTTTGAAAAGACTGGATGAGGGTGAAAGTGTGACAAAATTGGCAGTAGAGATTGGAGTGGGCGAGGTCACAATAACCGACTGGAAAAAATTGCACAAAGATTGAGCGGTTTTGTGCCTCTGCTTTGGAAAAATCAGTTGAAAATTGACAAATGGCGAGGCCCTCAACGTTTGACAAGCTTGATGATAAAGCTTTATTTGTGGAGTTTGCTCATGAAAGAGAAAGAGAAACACCCCTAAGTGGACCTTTTGTTAGAAAAAATTTCCTCTCCGCCGACCGAAATGTGTTCGGATTAGGCAGATGTTTGGACTAGTGGGGCTCTACTGTAATTTGATTAATGGATTAGAATGTTGTCGGAAGTATTTGGAATTCTGTTAAATTTTTGGAGCTTGCTGATGGCCGAGTGGATAAAACTACCAAACGTGGGTTTGTGCCTTGTCGGCAGGCCAGTTGTGTGTTGTTCGCTGGATTTACTTTGTATTCTTAACACCCAATTGAGGATTGGTTTTCTGTAGAAAGTCCTCCGGCAGATGACCCGTGTTGTGTCATCATGACTAAATAAACCTTATCTTTTGACCAAAAGTCAGTCGTCCTTAGTTTATGGTACCCGACATTTTAGAATGATGTAAAATATATTACAAATTCTTTGTTAATTAAATTATAAATTGAAGTTGATCAGATATTTAATTGTATCTTATATGTATTTGCTACGTAAACTGAGCAGTTACTTTTTTATTTATCGACATAGTGCCAAGTTTTGTGTACTTTTATGAATTGATGATGATATTTTAATTTACATTTTGTACATTGTTTTATTTTTTTATAAAATTATTACTAAATTACAAATTAGAGGAAGAAATTTAAACTGATTTAATTTTTAGATTTTTGGAAGTGAGAATCAATAAAAAATTGAATTCAGTTTGGTCTCGGACTAAATTTAAATATTGAATCTTGTAAATATATATAGATTTAAAATGTAAAGAATGGATTAAGAAGCTGAAAGATTGCCAGATTAATAGTGGAGGAAAAGTAGCCCGATTAATCCGGCATTCGTTTGAATGGATTAAGATTAGAATTATTGGAAAAGAAATACATTATACAACAGAAATAAATTGAAAATTTATTACTTTTCTTTTTAAATAAAGAAAAAAAATCAGTTAACTTCTAGCAGAACTCTTACTTATTAATTAACAGGATTTTATATATTTTTTAGGGTTTTATTTAAATATCTTAGTAAGCCTTTTTAGTTTCTATTCAATGGCATAGAATAATTTGTAGATTATGATTTCTTTTATCATTAAGTAGATTTGTCAGGTAAAACTTATTATTCGAAACTGCTTTCTAAACTTTGATACAACAATAAAAAAATCAGATAACAAATTCTTCTTTATTATAAGTTCCACTTTCTATAAGGTTGATATGTTTTCCTGCTTTGGGTTTATTTTATGCATTCTTATGAGTCCTCCTACTGTTTAATCCAAACTTTGCAGCATTCAAAGCCATCCCTCTTTGGATGGGATTAGACAACAACAACTGGCGACTTCGTGTCCTCTTGCTGCTTAACTTCTGTGATTTGACAAAAATCAGTTCGTTCAGTAAAAAATAGTCATTACCTAGTCTCAGTAAATGCTATGACAAGGGTTTTAGCGTTACAAATAAGTCTATAACATCTATGTGGAATTTTTGTAGCACAAAACATTTTTCAGATGATGTTAAGCTGCTATTCTCTTAAGATATTGAGTCTACTGAGTGATGTGAGTACATCTGTTAAAATATTTTAAAATATTTAAAAAAAAAAAAACATATTGGAATTTGCTATTTAATATTTGAGAAAAGTCCATTCACAAGTACTCCTTGGAACTTTGATGGTGGAACTGTATAGAAATGTTCTATACCTACGTTTGATCATCTCCCAAAATTGGTTTCAGGATTTGGAAATAAATAAAGTGTTGGAAATGAAATTAAATTAAGAAATTGATATTGAAATTTTATTATTATTTGTTGAGTTAATAACAGAACTTAAAGTTCTTTCTTATAAATGAAACAAATTCAAGTTTTTTTTACTTTTAAAGACTATGTTTGTTTGGATTATGTATGTTGGCCTTCAAGGCCTTACGTAACCTATTGTGATTTTTAGTGCAGCTACTATTATCACATATACAAGAAATAGGTTTGAAAATCTCCATATTGAAATATATTTCATTTTTTTTTAAATCTAATTTTTCTGTGCTTTCATCTCTTTGATAAAACCTCAACATAATTTATCAATATTAGAATAATAACACATTTTCTTAGAGCATTGATCATGAAAATGTCTTGTCCATATATAATACATGCTTTCTTTATTCTAACAATATCAATACAATGCAAAAGAAAGATAGTGTCTTTGACAATTCAACACATGACTTCTATGATTTGATATGACAAACAGTTATCATAATTGGCACTGATATTTAAAGCAATGTGAAAATAGAAGTAAAGTAACCTAATTTAAATGCTGTAATTGTTTGGTTTCATTATAAAATATTGACTTTGAGTTGTTTATACATGTGAAAATAGCATTATAAAAGTAGAATTTAAACTGACTGGTTTTTTTTTCTTATAGGAATCCAATATGGAATTAGATAATGCTGCAAAATTTGAGGTAATGACTTTCAGTCCCCCTGCACCATTACCGAAAGAAGAAGAAGTAATTGAAACGCCAACCATTTTGTTGACTTATTTTGGAACTGCAATTCATATTTGTTTTGATAAAGTGAAAATTGGGACTACTAAAATACGACAGGCAGTAATTAAAAATCCCAATGATACAAGTTTGGAAGTTATGGTGAAGAAATTTCCGTACTCTAAAGGGTTTTCTATTAATGTCCAAAAATTCATCTTGGAACAAGATAAGGAGACTTGTTTAGATATAACTTGGGCTCCTACCGAAGAAGGATGTTTTCGAGAGATTGTCTTACTGCAAGCTAATAACGGTTGTCAAAAACAGATTATATTATTAGGCACGGCCGTTACTCCAAAGAAGAAAAAGGTAAGTAATTACGTTTATTTTACATGTTTCAATTATTGTAATTGATTATATCAAAATTTCATACAGAATTGCCATTTTTAATTACAGAAACAAGTAAATGCTAGAAAACTATCTGTAAATTATAAAATACAACATTATAAACTACTTAATACAGAAATAAAAGTAGTTAAAACAAATAAGAGAGACCAAACAACTGTTGGAGATAAGATTTCTAATGTGAAAGATTTCTTTTTAAATTCAGAAAATTGTGAAAATGATTCCAATGGAATAAATGTAGATGATTTTTCGGGGAAAACGTTTGCTCGTCAGGATGCCAAACATCCTCTTCCATCTACTCCTCTCAGGCGTCAGACTTACATTTTAGGAAATAGCTCTCCAGAAAAAAACTCTGAAGTGAACATTAATATCTGTGAAGATAAAACAGATGTAACAGAGAAGATGTCTTCAAAAATATCTTCTAATACAAATACTACTCATAGGAAAAAGTATCATAAGAGAACTGGATTAAAACAAAAGTATAAGCTTTCACCTCTGCAAAGAAATTTTTATACAAAAACTACTTCAAAAACACCAGAGTCAAGACGTGAAACTTTTACAAAACAATCATTATCACAACTGGAAGATAGTTTAGAGTTTGAACCAAATGAGCTGTTAGATGATTCTTTCAATATGCTAACAAAATCAAATACAAAACATAATGTTGAAGGATACAATAATTTTGTGCCAAATAATTTAATGGATAAGTTTATATTAAATGAACAGAATTCTGGAAAAGTAAATTTCTTTACTAATAAAAATTTTGTAGAAGGTATTTACAAGGAAGGAATGAATGTAATTTCTGAAGTGGATGTAGACAATGCAAACAATCTCTATATTCAAGATAAAATGCTTTGCAATCAAGAAAAAATTGAACCAGAATCTCCTGAAGAAAATTCACAAGAAAATGACTTTTATGATAGTATTAATGAATCTTCAGAAAAAGAAAATTCTCTTTCTAAGAAATTGCAAACAGAAAATGCGAGTGCAAAGTTACTGTCTCGATTAAGTTCAGATACAGTTGTGCTTATGGAACCGTCAGTATCACCGGAAATATTGCCTCATTACAGTTCTGAAAAGAAATTTCATACGGAAACCTTATCCAAAGAGAAAATTTGTTCACAAGTACAGACAAAAGAAAAAGAATTTATTCCTTCTTCATTTATTTCATATAATCCAACATTAGCTGATTCGACATGTGACTTTAGTTTTTTGTCTGGTAAATCTACAGAAAATAAATATTGTAGTACTGGTATTACATCAAAATTGCCACCACTTACCATTATGTCTGATCAACTTTCATGTGGAAATCAGTTTTCATTTCATGAGTTTAATAATTTTCATTTTTCAAACATCGGCATAGAAGATCAATTGAATTCTAAAATAGAAAATACTAATGATCGAAAAGAACATTTAGAAGAAAAAACATATAATGAATGTATCCAGGATGAATATCAAAAAGAAATAATTGATTTTAACAACCAAGAAAAAGATAAATGTTCTGTTTTTACTATTTCTCCTCCCGTTTTATCTAAAAGTAAATATTCAAAACAAAGTTCAATAGTTGGACACATGAACAAGTTATCAAATACCAGAAGCATAAAATATCCATCTTTGAAGGCAAATTTGAAGACAAAAAATGGACAAAAGAAAGGTAATCGTTTTATACTGAATATTTATATTCTAAATTTGTAACTTTTTAATTTTATAAACAGATTAATGATTTTGTACATCATATTAACCAAATATTTAGAAGTTACCAAATAAATAATTGACTGACGATCACACAGTAAAGGATTCACTTACTATTGTGAGGTTTGTGAATAATGCATTCCAAAGATTTTCGAATTTTTATGATTAATTCAAATATGGATATTTATCATCTAGCAAAACAATTTGTTACATGTCAAACAAATCCATCCTGAGTGCTTGTTCATGTTTGTTGCACAAATAACCTGAGTACATTGAGAATATCAAATGGCACAAACTTGTTAAATGAATGATTTCAGTGAATGAGTTTGTATCACTTTATATAAATATATTTGTGAATAATTTGACTAAGTCCCTTAATATGTTTGGCCTGCAAAGGCAATATAGATTTGGAGCTAGGAAATATTTTACAAGAAAAAGTTTATTGGATATGTCAATGTTGGTTATCTTAGTTACAGACCACTACAATTGTCAGAAAATTTACATTGTTAGCAAAATCTCAGTTTTTGTAGGGCTGTAGATCTTTGAATTCACTTGCAAACACAATTTTAATTAATATTTTATCTTTATATAATTTTTGATTATCATTAGTTTCTATCAATGATGAATATATAAGTTTAAAGTTAATTTGCTTCTAATATTTAATTAATAAGTCTAATTTATATAAATTTTTAAATTTAATTAAACCTCAGTTCATTTGTCATGTATCAATAAATAAAATGTAATGCATGTGTAATAAAGTAACATACAGTATATAATAAGATTCTTTAAATTCTATTATATATTTTATTAAGCAAATGATTAAATTATGCTGTATAAAATTCCTTTAATAAGTTTACTTTTAATATTTTAGATGACAACAATAGTGAATCAAAGCCTATAATGCCTCTAAGGAAGAAATTTAAGGTTGCACAATCGAAATTAACTCTTATTAAGCCAGTTCAAATAGGTAATGCTTTCAATGTTTTTATGAAGATTAAATAAGCTAGGTTTTCAAAATATGCATTAAAATCTATATTTAGATTTAAAAAATATATAATATTTGTCATTAATTTAAATATGGTTAGGCTTTTATATCACAAAATCATTAATAACAAATTTCTTTATTCTAGAAAGTTTTTTGTGGAATATAGTAAAGATCTTTTTTATCTTAATTAACGATACATTTTCAATACAGTAAATCTTGTATACAACAAATTTTACACATTTCCTGAGAGTTAATGGATAATTTTTTTATACAGAATTTAACTGTTGCATTTGTATTTATAAGGTGGGCTGTAACATTTCATAAGTTTTCCTAACATTCTCAAAAAGTAAAACATTGTTTTCTGATTGCTTCTTTTAAAGGTTCACAATTAAAATCTGTAGTCAAGTATTTAAATAAATTAACTATTTATTGAAATACACCCAATTCTGTTTTCACATGGTAGATACTGATAAGTTCCCAAAAAATCCATGTAAACAAAAAATCTGTGTAAAAAAAGTTACTTTTCATATGGAAAAATGGAAGATTGTCTGCAAAGCTTAAAAACTAGTAAAAGTATGATAAACCAATTAATATAATATGATGTGTTTAACTAAAAATTGAAATATTTTGTTTAATGAGATGAGGGACAATTATAACTTATTTATCAGCAAAATTTAATAAATTTATATTTGCACAAATTTTATTTTTTATTTGACTTTGTTCAATTAAACATTGAAATACTTGTAGCTTATATTCCTCCACCTGGCATACAGAAAGTGTTCTGTATTGAAAGAAATTAGAAAAAACAGTTACACAATGAAATTCTTAAACTTTAAATTAAATTATTTCTGACTGCTTCAATCATGGGATAAAGTCATAATGAAAGACTCTCACTATGCATGTTCAGATAAGTCTTCAAAAACAGCCAAATTGCAAAATTTACTTTAGTGTGTATAGCAGCCTTAAATGCAAATTCTAAGAATTTTTTCTTAGAATTAAAATCAAATGGAGATTTTTAAGAAAAGGAAAATTTATTGGAATGTGTTAGATCCAAACAAATTGCATAAAAAGAGAACTAAATTTTTTTCCAGACTGTGTTAAATCAAAACAGTGTACTGAATGTATTTTTTGAAATTGGTGAGTAAAAGTTATAAGGAAGAGAACTGAAAAAGTGAAAAAAAATTTACATTTAGTACAAATGTCTTCAATCTGCTTAATGAATGGTCTTCAGATTAAATTCTGAATTGAATCTGAATTCAAAATATGTTACAACTATTCAAATTAAAAACTTGAATTACGTGATGACTCAAATAAAGAACTTGATGTGTGAAGATTCCATAAATTATGGCAAAATCAGTTTGTATTTTCATAATTTTTTTATTAACTAATTTTGAAAACTATCTCAAATTGTTTTTGTTGGATTTCAAGTATAATTTTGTCTTTTTTGTGTGTGTTATTCCCTGTGTAATAATAAGAGACATGTGAGTCCGGGTCCTAACCTCCCTCTCCAATGGGAAAACTGGCTGTCGAGCTAAAGCCATAAATCAGTGACTTATTTTGTAAACAGGAACAGGGTGGTAAAGGAATGGGGTGTGAGACAATTTAATTGTTGCATTCCTGGACCAAATTGACAGGTTTCCGATCATATATCGTGGAAGGTGGGAGAGAGTGTGACTGCCAGGGAGAGCTTGATGCTCGTCTTACACCAAGTTTAAAGTGAGAATTTGCAGACATGCCTTTGGAGGGGGCGCAGCCAGGATCGTTAGGACTCAGCTGCATTCTTTCCTAGTCAGAAAAACACATTAGACTAAAATTTATGGGACCATCTCTCTGGAGAAGGGCATGACTCGACTTTGGAGGGGACTAGCCTGGACAGGGGTGCTCAGTGACCACTTGGCCCAAATTATGTCCCTGGCAATAGACCAGGGACCAATGGAGTGATAGGGGACCGCCATTCGGACAAACCAAAAAGCAGGATTTCAGGTAAAATTCTACAAAAGCCCGAGATCCCAAGAACATGGGGGTTGATAAAGAGATCGCCAAGACCCAGGACCTATAGTTGAATCCTTCCACAATTTTTAATGTCACAATAAATAATTGCTCATTATTTTTATTTTGTATTGTGTAATTTTGGGGGGTGATACATGTTGGATCTTTGATCCACACTATGTAAAATCTATTTAAGAAATTAAAAAAAAAAGTAAAATATACTTTCAATTTTTCTGTCAGGATATATTGTATACTTAATTTAAGTTTCATCTAAAATAATAATTATAACATTTTTATCTATAGCACTGAACACTTAAAACTGTATAAAATACTTACTATTTACTATTTATGTATATAATTCTTGTATTTTGAACGAATTTTGTCAAATGATAAAGATATTTTAGTATTTTATGAATTGAAAAATTAATTTTAAAAAATCCCGTATTAAATTTTAATGGGGAGAGTGTTAAAATTTGTTTATTCACTTTTTAAATACCAGTCTTTTTTTCATGATATTCTCTATTTGATTATTATATTTTCATTTAATTACTTACAATAATTATAAAACATAATCAGCGTGAACTTAGTTTAATAATTGTTATAGTTATTATAAAAATTGTTAATATCAATAGTTAAATTTTGAATCAGTATAATAAATTAAATAGATTGTAAATGCCACTTCATCTGTATTTTTTGATCAGATGATTATTTACTTGGATAACTTTTATTTATGTAAGTAATTACAATAAAAATTTGATGTACATTAAGTAGCATCAAATATCTATGTACCTAATTAATGAGGTTTATTTTTAACATAATATTAACTTTTTTTGAAATATTCTTCAATGAAATTTCATGTTAAAATGAAGGTATTATGAGTGGATCAAATGGTAGGAATTAGAGGATATTGTTAAATAATATTTTTAATAGTTAACTAAGTAGTCTATTTCTAAGTAGTATTTAACAACTAAAAAAATAATAATTTAATATGAAAAATTTTATGTTAATATTATTTTTATTATTACTGAATAGGATCATCTAGTATTCGTCATCCCAATCCATTTGCAGCAAAAAATATGTATTATGATGAAAAATGGATGTTAAAACAGGAGTTTGGTTTTACCAGATGGCTTAACTTTATTCTTACCCCCCCTGAAGACTTAACTACAGATGATATAATAAAAGGTAAAATACATTTCGACAAATAGAAAAGTTTTTAAAACCACATAAAATAAATAAATAAATAAAAAATATGCAGTAGAAATGTCCATTGATCAGGATTTGATTAGTGAGGATCCAATCAATGAGAATTTTGGTATTCATAATTAATACAATATATATATACACACACACAGTATGTGTGTCCAGTCAAACCTTGAGTTTTGAATACTTTGCTTCTCAAACAATTCAGTTTACAAACAAAAGTTTGAACTCAGTTTTTGCCCTTTGTTGTATGATAACTGTTGCCAAACAAGCTACTTAGCAGAATCTGTCACAGTTGGTCAACTTTCCATGTTAAAGAAAAGTTGACAGCCTGACCAATCGATGATAGGAGACTACTAATTTAGAAGTTAATGATACTAACATTGTCTTGCATCATGATACAAATCATCGATGACATTGCTGTTTAAGTTACATTTTAATATGTATCCAGGAAAGATGTTATTTCCGTTTTTTGGTATGTGCCATAGTCAAATTTAAATCAAATTACAGTTGAGTCCACATAACTATTTTGTCATAGGTATAACTAGACTCTGTCAGTTAGGTAGTCAGTTTTCTGTGGTCTCGGCCGGCTTACGTAGGCATTAATGTTAAAAAAACTCTGGTTTACTCGACACTGAATTTGAATGTAATAAAACTTCTCAAGCCAAATTTTCAAAACAAAAACCTTCCAAGAACAACATTAGTGGGAATTCTGAAGAAAAAAGGAAATTAAGAAACTTTCTTGGTCTTCGTCATGGCTGTCTCAAAAATACCAGAGTGTGTCGTTGTACAAAGATGTCAAAGATGCTCTGGTAGGTTGGCTGAAGCAGATTCATTATTCAAACCATTCTGTTTTGGGGCCAATACTGAAACAATATGTGATGGAAATCACCGAGGTACGTGGAGTAGAAACCAACTTTTGTGCCAGTGATGGATGGTCAGAGAGATACATTGCATGTACTATATAAATCACTACTGAATTTACCTAATTATAGTTTTGTGGTTTTTTTTTCAACTTTGTTTTAGTCATCATATCGACACATTTCCACTTGGGTCAGTCAACATATGCGAACTCGACTAATTAAAAAAAGTTGCATTAATTGATATTCACATAATATAAATTGCATTCAAGAATTAATGTTTAAATATGCTTAAGTTGAATTAAATGACAAATATTTATTAATGTAACATTATATATTATGATATTAATATTTATTAATACTATGTAGCCAGCTAATAAAAAATAAAAATAATAAAATAATTAAAACTGGCCTTTACACTGAAAAATAAAATAAATAAATAAATAAATTAAGTAATTGAAATCAAATCAATTGAAACATAAAATTTTGGAAGGTGTGGTTAAAGTAATTGTTGTTCGTCCTGACTGATTTGGTTATATTTCATTTAGGCAGAGTCAAGTCTCTATTTATTGCACTTTTTTGTGAAGTGTTTAATTTCAATTTTGGTTGGCAGTGACAGAACATTTTGCTTTTAATATATAGAATAGATATAGATGTAGATAGTATAATATTTTATTGCCATTGTAGGCATTTTTATGCATGAAATACAAGTAAAAAGGTGAAAAACAGGTTTTGTTTTGGAGATTGGGAATGAATTCATCCATTTTATATTGTTTCTTATGGAAAAATTTGTTTTGGTCTTAGAAAAAATTGGTTTTCAAACAACTATTAGGAATGAATTAAGTTCAAGATGTGAGGTTTGACTGTATATATATATATAAAGAAAAAAAATTGATTTGTACATAATTGAATATGCTAAATAATTCAGTAAAACAGGCTAAGAAAATGGATTAGTTTTGTAGGAGAATATGTACTACTACTGTGAGTTTTTCTAATGAATGAGGGGTGTGAATGTAATGTGAGTGTTGTTGTCCATACTAAGACAGTCACCTTTATAACACGAATTTTTTATTTGGAAAGACACTGCTTACACAATTCTGGTTGAGAATTTCTTCTCTTGAACGTATACATAGAAAATGCAGTCTATTATCTTCACAATCTGACGACAATTGGACAAAGTTTTGATAGCAATTGACTGCCCTGGGGCAAACTGGCTGGAAGTTGGCATAGAGTGGCTGAATATAGATGAAGTCCAAGATGATGAGGAAACCCATACAGAGGACAAACAGGTTGAAAGAGAGAGAAGCAATCATACTGAGTCCTTGAATCTCTGTGTTTATAAAGGATTTCTCTCTGAAATTCCAAATTTAATTGGTCCCGCATTTCTCTTTTTACCTTCTGATTGGTCCATTTCCTGTTTCCAAGTGAAATTAGATGACCAGATTGGACGAGGGAAAGTTTGCTCTGAGTTAATCAATTTGACTTTGTTCACAAGTGTTGGTTGAACTTTGAAACTTTTGCTTGTATCTGTGGGGTCCCAGACGAGGTTCGAACTTGAGTAAACCGTGAAATTCTTGCACGGCACAAAATGTAAACAACGAGACTCGGAATGGTTCGAGTATGTGTCAAACTATCTGTCAAGGTCTTAGTGGAAGACAAACTCTAACATGAGCGCTCATAAACAGGTAGATCTTTGACACGCGTGTCTATAAAATGTTGGTTGAGATAAATCTTTTCGAACAAAAAAAAAGGGAATTTTTGATAGATGAAAAATGATCGTTAAATTCTTAGACGTCAAAAAATGGTAAATAACGGCCTGAGTTATGAGTGCAGGTGTTATTATTTTATAAACAGTCATCGAGCAGAGTCGACAAAGAGGTATCAAATGGACACCTCGAATCGGACCTTTCCCGCAACCCGAAAAAGTTTCATCTTGCACCTGGAGACAAAGGAGAGACCAATCGGGAAGCGAGGAATGGGACGAGGGACCAATCTGAAATGCGAACAGTGGGGGAAAAACTATAAAAATCAGAACTTCAAGGTCGAAGAAGAGTCTCCTCTGGATTAAGCCTACAGTGGTGATTTAGATTGTGTTGTGCAACAGCCGATCACTGAGGACGCTGCAACGTAACAACAAACTTCTGCTTCGTCCAGATATCTTTCTCGTCCGTCCGAACTGCGACCGATCACACAAACTTTCGCCGTTCCCAGGAGCACCGAGATTTTGGAATTGTCCATTATAGATGTAAGCACGAATTCGAACAAATAAACGGGTTTTATCTTGTAAAACACTTGTACATCATTTGCCTCCTTCGCCACCGCCCACATACGTGGTTTCCCTTAGGCTCATTTTGATGTGAGATAGACTTTATTCCCCCTCAACGTCGGCAAACCTTACATATCTCATGCAATGATACTTTTTTTTTCCTGACATCTAAGAATGTTTTTATGTTTTATAATTTACAACATGATAGTTTTTCTGTAAAAGGAATGCTAAATTTCCTGTTTATTTCTAAATTTTGTCATTGTCTACGAGCATCAGAATTAAAGCTTGATCTTTCCGATTGACATTCTAAACATTCCAACCCATTCATTTATGACAACTTGTGATCTCATGGCTATATTGTTGACTATATTGTTTTTTACCTTCACGACAGATCTATTTCGTACATTTTTTTTATAACAAATTATTTTCTCAAATTAATTGAATATTTCATATGTTTAATGAGGAATTTGGACTCTGTCTGGGACCTCACACTTCTATGAAGAAGAATCAACAGTTATCATAGAAGTAAAAATTTATTAATATGTTTATTAGTTTTATATGTAATTATTTTATTAGATGAGTTTTCAAGTAAAAATGCAATTTTTAAAAATTCCATTTAATTATCTGAACATTTCTCTTTTTATTATTACACCTGTTAATTAATTAATGGAGCTTTTGCTTTTACTAATGCTTATCTATTAAAATTTATGTTTATGGATTTGACCATATTTAAAATTGTCCTAAAATTAATTATTTTTTGGTGTAATACTGTTTATGCATATAATTTATTTTAAAATTATAAAGAATATTTGAAGTATAGTATGTTTCATAAATTTCAAGAACTGATTTTTACCCACAAAGTACTCTTTAGTATTTAGAGCCTACAATGACTTGATTTATGTCCCAGAACTTGCTTAAATTTATGTAAATGTACCCTTTACATATTAACGTAGACTCATGCTTTTGAATATCACATCAACTTGCCCAAGATTTGTGAAACATATTATAAAACTAATATTTTTTTTGCTAAGTAACCAATTATGAGACAATAAATATCCACATTAATATAATGTTTCATGATTTTATTTAAAACCAATAGTGTTGTTTAAATGTAAAACCCTTTCTGAAATGTGCTGTACTTTGGTTACCTATATAATGAATCCAGATATAACTCTTAATACATTCATACAACATGTAGAAGTTGCAAAATATTTGAAATCTAAGAAGATATTTTTTCAGATATATCAAAATTTATTTTAAACTTACTGAAATTTACTAATTATCAAAGTTATCAGAAAAAATAGTGAAATATTTATTTATAATCTAAGATCAATAATTAACATAATCCAAACACAGTAGTATCTTATTTGTTGGTTTATTTTCGAGATTTAATGAGTTGAACTATATTAATTGCATGTCTTATTATGAAATGTTTCTAATATCTTTTTCTTTATCATATTTCTCAAATTACTAATGCAAAATATCACTATATATAACCTTTATGGATATTCATTGTATAATTATGTTACAGTTGATGCAGCCAAATTGTGGCAAGAGAATATGTACAATGCTGCAGCAAATCCAGCTCCCACCAAAGAGCAACTTTCTTTTAAAGCATACACTGCTATGAGACAGCTTAACAGATTAAGACATTCTGCCTGTTTGATGTATCAGTCACAACCTATGGTCTTTGTCATCACTCGCCTAGAAACTGAAATTGAAAACAATAAACTTGTTATTAGAAAGGATAAAGCTTTACATGCAGATATAGGTCAGGTTTAATTTTTTTGTTTCAAAGATTGTTTTTGCATAAAATGTGTGTAATAATTAAACTAAAATTAAAATTTTTGTGTCTTTTACATAGGCATAAGGAAATATATTTTGAAGTTGCTCTTAGATTATAATCCTCTGTGGCTGAGAATTGGTTTAGAGGTAAATATTTTAAAGTTATTTTAATTAGATTTTAGCTCTAGTACTATATTAATTTATAATGTCATATCTTTTCTAGACTGTTTTTGGTGAACTGATACATTTAAATTCCAATAATGATGTTTTGGGTTTATCAAGATTTATAATTCAAAGACTTCTTAATAACCCAGATATATCATCAAAATATGCACATCCTAAAGTCCCTCATTTATATAAGCCTGGTGAGTATTATTATTATTTATAATTAAGTTATATCATAATTTTATTATTTTAGTAAAATTATGATATAGCATAAAAATACTTCTTTAAGTAAAAAGTTATAATAAGTTATATTTAACATATTCATTTTTTTTACTAAATTAGGCTATGAAGACGAACTTAAGAAGTTTACTCTGAAGAAGTTTTTATTATTAGTATATTTCCTGGATAACGCAAAATTAACTCGTTTGATAGACCATGATCCGTGCCTGTTCTGTAAAAATGCAAAATATAAAGTGAATATTTAATTATATATCAAATAATTATGAAATATAATATTTTACTAATATAATATGTTATCTTGCATTTTAGTCGAGTAGAGATTTACTATTATCGTTTTCGAGAGAATTTCTAAGTGGTGAAGGTGACATCACCCGACATCTTCGCTATTTAGGTTATTCTGTCAGTCATGCCCAAACTGCTTTAGAAGAATTTGAATATGCAGTGACTAATTTGGCTGTTGATCTACGTTGTGGATTACGGCTTGCGTAAGAAATTTTGACGTTATATTTAATATTTGTATATTATATTCATCTACACTGTAATTGTAATTAACATTAGTCTAAATGTTTTATAAATTGTACAGAATATATATTAAAGACAAATGATTGCTTGATTAGATTGGGCTATGTTATTGTTACTATTAATAATTAAATTTTTCCAGAACCTTCTAAATTAATTGATAAATATTAATTTAATTATAATTATTAATAGTAGCAATAATATGGCCAGATCTAATCCAGCAATCATTTGGCTTTAATATAACTATCGGGTGTATGAATCTTTATATTTGCAGAATTATAATAAAATTCAAGAGTTAATCATCACTTCAACAGACTAATAGATGGACAACTTTGTCTGTAATTGCTAATTTTCAAGTCATGAAGGGATGGCTAAATAATAATAATAAATACAGAAGTCATAAGTTGAACCAATAAGTTAGTGTATAAAAAATAAAATCACTATGTGACCACAATTTAAAACATAAAAACTGAATATAAAACAAATGTTAGTGCTGTATTTACCTTTACGGAGAGATGAGAATGTGAAATATGGAATAATTGTTATTTTATCTCAGAAAATGTGGCTTTTCAGGCTCATTTTACTGTTTCCAAAAGAGAAAGAGCAGATTAGGGGAAGATGGGGCTAGATGTGTACCAAGAAACTAACTCATTTCAAAATTTTATCACATACTCTTGGATCTGCTGATCAATTGTTTTTAAAATCCATCAAATTAGGATCACAGTTGAATTGAGAGTCAACTACTTAATATTGCAATCATTCCATTATGTAAAAGGTTCTTATATCAATAGTCATTTTTGATATATATGATGGCTGTTCAATAAGTAATGCACATAATTTTATTTATTGGCTGACTTTCATTGGAATTGAACAAAGCTTTGCATAACATATTTTTAACAATTGTTGTATAATGGCATGAAGTTTTTGTTGATTCTGTTAGGAGGTTGTAGTGTAGTTTAGTTTTAAAATGGCAGCTGCACTGGAGATACGTACAAAACAGAGAATTATGATTGAATTTCTTTTTGTGGAGCACGAGACCATCTCAAACATTCACAGACATGTCTATGGGGATGAAGCAGTGGATAGCAGTACTCTCAGTCATTGGGTTAGTAGAGTGTCAACAACAGAACAAGGTAAAGTGAGACTGTCAGATCTTCCATGCTCAGGATGGCCACACGCTGCTGTGACTCTGGAGACAGTTCAACACACCAATAGACTTATTTGAGATGACAGTAACAACCAAACAACTTGTTGCTCAATTAGGCATCTCTGTGGGTAGTGCCAACGCAATTATCCACTGCTTAGGTTATTCAAAGGTTTGTGCCAAGTGAGTCCCTAAGTGCCTAACTGAAAACAATAAGGAGCAAAGAAAGTCCATTTGTGCAGAGTTGCTTGAACATCATGAAGCTGATAAAGATTTCTTATCCAAGATTGTCACAGGAGATGAGACATGAGTTCACCATTTTGAACCTGAGACCAAACGACAATTCATGGAGTGTCTTCACAAAAGTTTTCCTAGGAAGAAAAAGTTCAAATCAGGACCCTCAGCTGGCAAGATTATGGCCACAGTGTTCTGGGATTCTGAAGGTGTGATTCTGATTGGCACCTCATAGGACAAATCATAGGAGACGTCAGGAAGTGGCTGAGAGAGAGAGACCAGCTGAGTGGTAACTGAACTGGCATACGGGCTCTGGCATATAGGTGGTGTAAGGCTGTAGATTTAAATGGAGACTATGTGGAATAAGGGTACTTGTAACCAATTAATTGGGGAATAATGTAGTATATTTGGATTTGTAGAAAAAATAAACCTTGAGTAAGAAAAAGATCTATGTGCATTACTTATTGAACATCCTAATAAATATTGATTATTACTGAATTGCACATCAAGAAATAAATCTTTAAAACAAATGTATTTTTCAAACATTTAAGAAATTTTAATTAAAATATTTAAGCAATAAATAACATGTATACAAATATATCGGAAGAGAAAATAAATTATTTATTAATAATCAAAGACTTTATTTTTCACATTGTTTTTCATGTTGTTTTTCTGATATTTTCATCAGAAATAATTGGATCCATGATTGTGATTAGTTATGATTCACAATAATGCATTTCTGTTGTTACAAATCAAATAGATTTAAGATTACTATATTTCTTTGTTTTATATTCTGTTAATCCTCTATAATTTTCATGCTTTATATTAAATATTCTTGAATCTATCTTATCTGGGTATGTATATTCTAAATAAACATTTATTTATTAATTTTTTTAATGTAAAAGTTAGTTAAAAACTTAGTTCATAGTTTAATGTAGTATTTAGTCAAATATATGATATTACTACAAGGGTGTATTAAATGAAAACCTCAAAAGTGCTATACATTTTGTATCATAACAATTAAGGAAAAATCATACATATCATTTTTCAATGTAGTCTCCATGATGTTGAATGCATGTATTCCACCACTTCGGAAGTGCATGGATACCACATTTAAATAAATCTTTTGGTCATGACTCTAGCCACTTGTGCACTGCCATTTTCACTTCAGCATCACTTCTGAAATGCTTGCCTTCCATTGCTTCTTTAAGCAGTCCAAACACATGAAAGTCACTAGGGGCAAGGTCTGGTGAATAAGGTAGGTATATGAGAAATTCAAATTTGATATCCTGGATAGTCTGAACTGTCAACTGGGCTGTATGCAGTTGGGCATTGTCATGCTGTAACAATACAGCTGAAGTCAGAAGTCCTTGTCGATTAGTCCTGATTGCAGGGTGAAGTTGATTTTTCAGTAGATTTTTATAAGAAATACTGGTTACTGTCACTCCCCTATTCATGTAATTCCAGGATTACTCCCTTTGCATCCAGAAGAGAGTGAGCATGACTTTTCCTACTGATGGTTGAGTGCAGAATTTTTTCAGTTTTGGTGATGTGCTATGGCAGCATTCCTTGCTTGATCTTTTCATTTCTGGTTGATGATAGTGAATTCAGGTCTCATCACCTGTAACAATTTTGTCCAGGAATGCTTCATCTTTGATGTGGAAACGATGCAAAAGTTTTTCACAGGCATCGATGCGACGGTCAACTTCCATGGAACCCATCTTGCAGACATTTTATTAAATTGCAGCACATTATGGAAAATATTCTGCGCTGAACCAAAACTATAACTATTTTGTTTAGACTTACGTTTGTTTTGCTTTACAAACTTCCAATATTACAATGTTTTTGTCCGTCACCATGTATTGAGCCTGCCTCAGTCGTGTGGAATCCTCTACAGAAGTTACACCGCTTGGGAACTTTCTGTACCACTTGTACACTTGCTGCAGGGTCAAACAGGAATCACCTGCACTGTCATTCTGTGATGAATTTCAATAGGTTTGATACTTTGCTACCTACCATAGATCAATGCTCTACAGCGGTGCATGCTGATAGTGGAGCAGCTATCTTGTTACTGATGGGACTGTCTTTTTCTGTTGTAGCATCATTCTGCAACCTGTCAGTCATTTTGTGAATCTCAAGGAACAAGGAATCCCAAGGAAAACTTCTGCCACTTCAATCATACTACTTTTCAAAGTTTAATTGCACTTTTAAGGTTTTCATTTGATATACCAACGTATAAAATAAATTCTATTAAACTAACAATTTATTTATTTTCAGTCGAGTCATCGAATTAATTTTAAAACAGTGGAGTCTTTCAAAAAAGCTTAGAGTTCCGGCAATCAGTAGATTACAGAAAATTCATAATGTGGAAGTCTCCCTCGAGGCATTGAAAGCTTCTGGTTTTATTCTTTTAGGCGATATTGGTGCTCGTGATATAGTCGACGGGCACAGAGAAAAGACTCTTAGTTTATTGTGGCAACTTATATTTAAAACACAGGTTAGTTTTTACATATTATTTCTTTTTAAATTATACCTGAACAAACTTAGTAAATAAAACGTCTGTAAATAATTGTAATTATATATTTTAGGGTTTTTAAAAGTTTTCACATTTATTTTATGGTAAAGACAATGTTTTGGTGTTAAAACTTAATAATAATTTTAATTTCTAAATGATATTTACAATTGTTTTTATTAACAGTAATTATATTTAGAACATTCATCATCATAATCTGAAGATTATACTGTGCTACCTTGATTCAAAGATTCTTTTTTACCACTTCTACTGCCCAGTCTAATGATGCATCTTGCAATCAATAGTTGTATTTTATATTCACAGTCTAAAACATCAATCAATACACATTTTTGATATTTTGCTTGATATATCAATTTATAAACGATCTTTGAAGATGATAGTCAAAACGTTAAAAGTTTAATTTAGACAATCTTCAACATGACATTACAATGAAACATTAAAAGGAATAATTGCTGTACCTTTTAGATGAGCATTGAATACAACAAATATTACTTATTGCATGCATTTGTACTGTTTTTCTAACTTGTTACCTAAAAAAGCTTTGAAATTGATTATTTAAAAACGTTTTCCTTTATTAAAAACCTACACCATGATTTTGAAACCAAATTTTGTCAAGAATTGAGTGTGTGTGTGTGTATATATAAACATATATATATTTCCATCCTGGACATAATATGTCTATTATGGTTTTTGCTCATCATGGGTTTGGCAAAGCATACAATGGAGTAATTAGGCAGTGAGAGATGTGATTGGCATATCTGGGGTTGTATTCTGGTCATCGTCTCTGGTCTCTCGTCTCTCACAAGCTGGTTGCTGATTGGCTAATCCAAATGATTAGCCAATCAGTGACCAGCTTGTGAGAGACGGTGACCAGAATATGGACCTGGATTAGACCCTGGATAAGATTTGAGATCCAATCTGGATTTAGGATATTTCTGAGATTCATAAAGACATGCATCAAATCTACTTTGGACGTCCAGACGTCATTATGAAAACAATTAGCAAAAATAACTTGATGATTCATTCATTTCATGATTTTTCATACATTATTTTATTTCTGAGTATATTGTTTATATTTTCTACATGACTTCAAAAGAAAAAATTTGAGATTCTAAACTAAATATAATTTCTTTTTGTAAATCCTTTTGAATTATCTGATTAAACATGAAGTGTACAATTCTGACATCTAAATTAAAAAGAAATTCAATTAATGAGTTTCCAAAAAACTCTAGTAAATGTTAAATGGTCTATGAGCTTTTATAAGTGAAGCATTGAATTAATAAATAAGCCAGTGTGCTAATGAATAATATTTATAAAATTGCAATAGCAATTCATTTATTAGCTGCAAAGTCTAAAATATTTTTCACTTAATGTAATTAGTTATAACAATTTAGTAATATAATTCTAATTATAAAATATATTACTGTTTATGATGATGTTTACAATCTAATTAACAATGCATTCTTTTTTAAATGAGATAACAAAAATCAATAATTTAATTTTTTTTATTTTATAAAGATCTGAATACCTTAATTTATTCTAATGTGCACATTTTTTCTTATTAGGTGGAAGTTATTTTGAATAAGGAAAAGTTGAAAGAAGAAATAGTATTTCTTCGTAAAAACTTCAGAGTCTGTCATAAATTAGCTTCCATTAAAGATTACAATAGTATAACCTCATTTGATGACAACACTCACAAAAATGTTAGAGACAACAAGTTGTATGCAGAATCAGAAGTTTTGCAATTATTATTGCAATGGTGTCAAACTGTTTGCCTCTATTATAATTTAATGGTAATTTTTTTAATATTTATAAGTTATTTTATGCATTTTTATAGATGATGATGATGATTATAAATAAATGGTTATTATACAAGTTTTGAAAGAAACATTTGAGNTGAGATGAGGGACAATTATAACTTATTTATCAGCAAAATTTAATAAATTTATATTTGCACAAATTTTATTTTTTATTTGACTTTGTTCAATTAAACATTGAAATACTTGTAGCTTATATTCCTCCACCTGGCATACAGAAAGTGTTCTGTATTGAAAGAAATTAGAAAAAACAGTTACACAATGAAATTCTTAAACTTTAAATTAAATTATTTCTGACTGCTTCAATCATGGGATAAAGTCATAATGAAAGACTCTCACTATGCATGTTCAGATAAGTCTTCAAAAACAGCCAAATTGCAAAATTTACTTTAGTGTGTATAGCAGCCTTAAATGCAAATTCTAAGAATTTTTTCTTAGAATTAAAATCAAATGGAGATTTTTAAGAAAAGGAAAATTTATTGGAATGTGTTAGATCCAAACAAATTGCATAAAAAGAGAACTAAATTTTTTTCCAGACTGTGTTAAATCAAAACAGTGTACTGAATGTATTTTTTGAAATTGGTGAGTAAAAGTTATAAGGAAGAGAACTGAAAAAGTGAAAAAAAAATTTACATTTAGTACAAATGTCTTCAATCTGCTTAATGGATGGTCTTCAGATTAAATTCTGAATTGAATCTGAATTCAAAATATGTTACAATTACGTGATGACTCAAATAAAGAACTTGATGTGTGAAGATTCCATAAATTATGGCAAAATCAGTTTGTATTTTCATAATTTTTTTATTAACTAATTTTGAAAACTATCTCAAATTGTTTTTGTTGGATTTCAAGTATAATTTTGTCTTTTTTGTGTGTGTTATTCCCTGTGTAATAATAAGAGATATGTGAGTCCGGGTCCTAACCTCCCTCTCCAATGGGAAAACTGGCTATCGAGCTAAAGCCATAAATCAGTGACTTATTTTGTAAACAGGAACAGGGTGGTAAAGGAATGGGGTGTGAGACAATTTAATTGTTGCATTCCTGGACCAAATTGACAGGTTTCCGATCATAGATCGTGGAAGGTGGGAGAGAGTGTGACTGCCAGGGAGAGCTTGATGCTCGTCTTACACCAAGTTTAAAGTGAGAATTTGCAGACATGCCTTTGGAGGGGGCGCAGCCAGGATCGTTAGGACTCAGCTGCATTCTTTCCTAGTCAGAAAAACACATTAGACTAAAATTTATGGGACCATCTCTCTGGAGAAGGGCATGACTCGACTTTGGAGGGGACTAGCCTGGACAGGGGTGCTCAGTGACCACTTGGCCCAAATTATGTCCCTGGCAATAGACCAGGGACCAATGGAGTGATAGGGGACCGCCATTCGGACAAACCAAAAAGCAGGATTTCAGGTAAAATTCTACAAAAGCCCGAGATCCCAAGAACATGGGGGTTGATAAAGAGATCGCCAAGACCCAGGACCTATAGTTGAATCCTTCCACAATTTTTAATGTCACAATAAATAATTGCTCATTATTTTTATTTTGTATTGTGTAATTTTGGGGGGTGATACATGTTGGATCTTTGATCCACACTATGTAAAATCTATTTAAGAAATTAAAAAAAAAAGTAAAATATACTTTCAATTTTTCTGTCAGGATATATTGTATACTTAATTTAAGTTTCATCTAAAATAATAATTATAACATTTTTATCTATAGCACTGAACACTTAAAACTGTATAAAATACTTACTATTTACTATTTATGTATATAATTCTTGTATTTTGAACGAATTTTGTCAAATGATAAAGATATTTTAGTATTTTATGAATTGAAAAATTAATTTTAAAAAATCCCGTATTAAATTTTAATGGGGAGAGTGTTAAAATTTGTTTATTCACTTTTTAAATACCAGTCTTTTTTTCATGATATTCTCTATTTGATTATTATATTTTCATTTAATTACTTACAATAATTATAAAACATAATCAGCGTGAACTTAGTTTAATAATTGTTATAGTTATTATAAAAATTGTTAATATCAATAGTTAAATTTTGAATCAGTATAATAAATTAAATAGATTGTAAATGCCACTTCATCTGTATTTTTTGATCAGATGATTATTTACTTGGATAACTTTTATTTATGTAAGTAATTACAATAAAAATTTGATGTACATTAAGTAGCATCAAATATCTATGTACCTAATTAATGAGGTTTATTTTTAACATAATATTAACTTTTTTTGAAATATTCTTCAATGAAATTTCATGTTAAAATGAAGGTATTATGAGTGGATCAAATGGTAGGAATTAGAGGATATTGTTAAATAATATTTTTAATAGTTAACTAAGTAGTCTATTTCTAAGTAGTATTTAACAACTAAAAAAATAATAATTTAATATGAAAAATTTTATGTTAATATTATTTTTATTATTACTGAATAGGATCATCTAGTATTCGTCATCCCAATCCATTTGCAGCAAAAAATATGTATTATGATGAAAAATGGATGTTAAAACAGGAGTTTGGTTTTACCAGATGGCTTAACTTTATTCTTACCCCCCCTGAAGACTTAACTACAGATGATATAATAAAAGGTAAAATACATTTCGACAAATAGAAAAGTTTTTAAAACCACATAAAATAAATAAATAAATAAAAAATATGCAGTAGAAATGTCCATTGATCAGGATTTGATTAGTGAGGATCCAATCAATGAGAATTTTGGTATTCATAATTAATACAATATATATATACACACACACAGTATGTGTGTCCAGTCAAACCTTGAGTTTTGAATACTTTGCTTCTCAAACAATTCAGTTTACAAACAAAAGTTTGAACTCAGTTTTTGCCCTTTGTTGTATGATAACTGTTGCCAAACAAGCTACTTAGCAGAATCTGTCACAGTTGGTCAACTTTCCATGTTAAAGAAAAGTTGACAGCCTGACCAATCGATGATAGGAGACTACTAATTTAGAAGTTAATGATACTAACATTGTCTTGCATCATGATACAAATCATCGATGACATTGCTGTTTAAGTTACATTTTAATATGTATCCAGGAAAGATGTTATTTCCGTTTTTTGGTATGTGCCATAGTCAAATTTAAATCAAATTACAGTTGAGTCCACATAACTATTTTGTCATAGGTATAACTAGACTCTGTCAGTTAGGTAGTCAGTTTTCTGTAGTCTCGGCCGGCTTACGTAGGCATTAATGTTAAAAAAACTCTGGTTTACTCGACACTGAATTTGAATGTAATAAAACTTCTCAAGCCAAATTTTCAAAACAAAAACCTTCCAAGAACAACATTAGTGGGAATTCTGAAGAAAAAAGGAAATTAAGAAACTTTCTTGGTCTTCGTCATGGCTGTCTCAAAAATACCAGTGTGTGTCGTTGTACAAAGATGTCAAAGATGCTCTGGTAGGTTGGCTGAAGCAGATTCATTATTCAAACCATTCTGTTTTGGGGCCAATACTGAAACAATATGTGATGGAAATCACCGAGGTACGTGGAGTAGAAACCAACTTTTGTGCCAGTGATGGATGGTCAGAGAGATACATTGCATGTACTATATAAATCACTACTGAATTTACCTAATTATAGTTTTGTGGTTTTTTTTTCAACTTTGTTTTAGTCATCATATCGACACATTTCCACTTGGGTCAGTCAACATATGCGAACTCGACTAATTAAAAAAAGTTGCATTAATTGATATTCACATAATATAAATTGCATTCAAGAATTAATGTTTAAATATGCTTAAGTTGAATTAAATGACAAATATTTATTAATGTAACATTATATATTATGATATTAATATTTATTAATACTATGTAGCCAGCTAATAAAAAATAAAAATAATAAAATAATTAAAACTGGCCTTTACACTGAAAAATAAAATAAATAAATAAATAAATTAAGTAATTGAAATCAAATCAATTGAAACATAAAATTTTGGAAGGTGTGGTTAAAGTAATTGTTGTTCGTCCTGACTGATTTGGTTATATTTCATTTAGGCAGAGTCAAGTCTCTATTTATTGCACTTTTTTGTGAAGTGTTTAATTTCAATTTTGGTTGGCAGTGACAGAACATTTTGCTTTTAATATATAGAATAGATATAGATGTAGATAGTATAATATTTTATTGCCATTGTAGGCATTTTTATGCATGAAATACAAGTAAAAAGGTGAAAAACAGGTTTTGTTTTGGAGATTGGGAATGAATTCATCCATTTTATATTGTTTCTTATGGAAAAATTTGTTTTGGTCTTAGAAAAAATTGGTTTTCAAACAACTATTAGGAATGAATTAAGTTCAAGATGTGAGGTTTGACTGTATATATATATATAAAGAAAAAAAATTGATTTGTACATAATTGAATATGCTAAATAATTCAGTAAAACAGGCTAAGAAAATGGATTAGTTTTGTAGGAGAATATGTACTACTACTGTGAGTTTTTCTAATGAATGAGGGGTGTGAATGTAATGTGAGTGTTGTTGTCCATACTAAGACAGTCACCTTTATAACACGAATTTTTTATTTGGAAAGACACTGCTTACACAATTCTGGTTGAGAATTTCTTCTCTTGAACGTATACATAGAAAATGCAGTCTATTATCTTCACAATCTGACGACAATTGGACAAAGTTTTGATAGCAATTGACTGCCCTGGGGCAAACTGGCTGGAAGTTGGCATAGAGTGGCTGAATATAGATGAAGTCCAAGATGATGAGGAAACCCATACAGAGGACAAACAGGTTGAAAGAGAGAGAAGCAATCATACTGAGTCCTTGAATCTCTGTGTTTATAAAGGATTTCTCTCTGAAATTCCAAATTTAATTGGTCCCGCATTTCTCTTTTTACCTTCTGATTGGTCCATTTCCTGTTTCCAAGTGAAATTAGATGACCAGATTGGACGAGGGAAAGTTTGCTCTGAGTTAATCAATTTGACTTTGTTCACAAGTGTTGGTTGAACTTTGAAACTTTTGCTCGTATCTGTGGGGTCCCAGACGAGGTTCGAACTTGAGTAAACCGTGAAATTCTTGCGCGGCACAAAATGTAAACAACGAGACTTGGAATGGTTCGAGTATGTGTCAAACTATCTGTCAAGGTCTTAGTGGAAGACAAACTCTAACATGAGCGCTCATAAACAGGTAGATCTTTGACACGCGTGTCTATAAAATGTTGGTTGAGATAAATCTTTTCGAACAAAAAAAAAGGGAATTTTTGATAGATGAAAAATGATCGTTAAATTCTTAGACGTCAAAAAATGGTAAATAACGGCCTGAGTTATGAGTGCAGGNGCCATTTTCACTTCAGCATCACTTCTGAAATGCTTGCCTTCCATTGCTTCTTTAAGCAGTCCAAACACATGAAAGTCACTAGGGGCAAGGTCTGGTGAATAAGGTAGGTATATGAGAAATTCAAATTTGATATCCTGGATAGTCTGAACTGTCAACTGGGCTGTATGCAGTTGGGCATTGTCATGCTGTAACAATACAGCTGAAGTCAGAAGTCCTTGTCGATTAGTCCTGATTGCAGGGTGAAGTTGATTTTTCAGTAGATTTTTATAAGAAATACTGGTTACTGTCACTCCCCTATTCATGTAATTCCAGGATTACTCCCTTTGCATCCAGAAGAGAGTGAGCATGACTTTTCCTACTGATGGTTGAGTGCAGAATTTTTTCAGTTTTGGTGATGTGCTATGGCAGCATTCCTTGCTTGATCTTTTCATTTCTGGTTGATGATAGTGAATTCAGGTCTCATCACCTGTAACAATTTTGTCCAGGAATGCTTCATCTTTGATGTGGAAACGATGCAAAAGTTTTTCACAGGCATCGATGCGACGGTCAACTTCCATGGAACCCATCTTGCAGACATTTTATTAAATTGCAGCACATTATGGAAAATATTCTGCGCTGAACCAAAACTATAACTATTTTGTTTAGACTTACGTTTGTTTTGCTTTACAAACTTCCAATATTACAATGTTTTTGTCCGTCACCATGTATTGAGCCTGCCTCAGTCGTGTGGAATCCTCTACAGAAGTTACACCGCTTGGGAACTTTCTGTACCACTTGTACACTTGCTGCAGGGTCAAACAGGAATCACCTGCACTGTCATTCTGTGATGAATTTCAATAGGTTTGATACTTTGCTACCTACCATAGATCAATGCTCTACAGCGGTGCATGCTGATAGTGGAGCAGCTATCTTGTTACTGATGGAACTGTCTTTTTCTGTTGTAGCATCATTCTGCAACCTGTCAGTCATTTTGTGAATCTCAAGGAACAAGGAATCCCAAGGAAAACTTCTGCCACTTCAATCATACTACTTTTCAAAGTTTAATTGCACTTTTAAGGTTTTCATTTGATATACCAACGTATAAAATAAATTCTATTAAACTAACAATTTATTTATTTTCAGTCGAGTCATCGAATTAATTTTAAAACAGTGGAGTCTTTCAAAAAAGCTTAGAGTTCCGGCAATCAGTAGATTACAGAAAATTCATAATGTGGAAGTCTCCCTCGAGGCATTGAAAGCTTCTGGTTTTATTCTTTTAGGCGATATTGGTGCTCGTGATATAGTCGACGGGCACAGAGAAAAGACTCTTAGTTTATTGTGGCAACTTATATTTAAAACACAGGTTAGTTTTTACATATTATTTCTTTTTAAATTATACCTGAACAAACTTAGTAAATAAAACGTCTGTAAATAATTGTAATTATATATTTTAGGGTTTTTAAAAGTTTTCACATTTATTTTATGGTAAAGACAATGTTTTGGTGTTAAAACTTAATAATAATTTTAATTTCTAAATGATATTTACAATTGTTTTTATTAACAGTAATTATATTTAGAACATTCATCATCATAATCTGAAGATTATACTGTGCTACCTTGATTCAAAGATTCTTTTTTACCACTTCTACTGCCCAGTCTAATGATGCATCTTGCAATCAATAGTTGTATTTTATATTCACAGTCTAAAACATCAATCAATACACATTTTTGATATTTTGCTTGATATATCAATTTATAAACGATCTTTGAAGATGATAGTCAAAACGTTAAAAGTTTAATTTAGACAATCTTCAACATGACATTACAATGAAACATTAAAAGGAATAATTGCTGTACCTTTTAGATGAGCATTGAATACAACAAATATTACTTATTGCATGCATTTGTACTGTTTTTCTAACTTGTTACCTAAAAAAGCTTTGAAATTGATTATTTAAAAACGTTTTCCTTTATTAAAAACCTACACCATGATTTTGAAACCAAATTTTGTCAAGAATTGAGTGTGTGTGTGTGTATATATAAACATATATATATTTCCATCCTGGACATAATATGTCTATTATGGTTTTTGCTCGTCATGGGTTTGGCAAAGCATACAATGGAGTAATTAGGCAGTGAGAGATGTGATTGGCATATCTGGGGTTGTATTCTGGTCATCGTCTCTGGTCTCTCGTCTCTCACAAGCTGGTTGCTGATTGGCTAATCCAAATGATTAGCCAATCAGTGACCAGCTTGTGAGAGACGGTGACCAGAATATGGACCTGGATTAGACCCTGGATAAGATTTGAGATCCAATCTGGATTTAGGATATTTCTGAGATTCATAAAGACATGCATCAAATCTACTTTGGACGTCCAGACGTCATTATGAAAACAATTAGCAAAAATAACTTGATGATTCATTCATTTCATGATTTTTCATACATTATTTTATTTCTGAGTATATTGTTTATATTTTCTACATGACTTCAAAAGAAAAAATTTGAGATTCTAAACTAAATATAATTTCTTTTTGTAAATCCTTTTGAATTATCTGATTAAACATGAAGTGTACAATTCTGACATCTAAATTAAAAAGAAATTCAATTAATGAGTTTCCAAAAAACTCTAGTAAATGTTAAATGGTCTATGAGCTTTTATAAGTGAAGCATTGAATTAATAAATAAGCCAGTGTGCTAATGAATAATATTTATAAAATTGCAATAGCAATTCATTTATTAGCTGCAAAGTCTAAAATATTTTTCACTTAATGTAATTAGTTATAACAATTTAGTAATATAATTCTAATTATAAAATATATTACTGTTTATGATGATGTTTACAATCTAATTAACAATGCATTCTTTTTTAAATGAGATAACAAAAATCAATAATTTAATTATTTTTATTTTATAAAGATCTGAATACCTTAATTTATTCTAATGTGCACATTTTTTCTTATTAGGTGGAAGTTATTTTGAATAAGGAAAAGTTGAAAGAAGAAATAGTATTTCTTCGTAAAAACTTCAGAGTCTGTCATAAATTAGCTTCCATTAAAGATTACAATAGTATAACCTCATTTGATGACAACACTCACAAAAATGTTAGAGACAACAAGTTGTATGCAGAATCAGAAGTTTTGCAATTATTATTGCAATGGTGTCAAACTGTTTGCCTCTATTATAATTTAATGGTAATTTTTTTAATATCTATAAGTTATTTTATGCATTTTTATAGATGATGATGATGATTATAAATAAATGGTTATTATACAAGTTTTGAAAGAAACATTTGAGTTAAATTTTTATTCAGAACAAGAGAGCTTTGACTACATTATTCAAACAATATTTTTTGCTATTATTATTATTAAAATTTATTTAAAATCATATCATCATATAATTATTAGAGTTTGAGTTATCACTTCTTTTATAGTTAATAGAATTAACCTATGTCAATAGGTTGTGTGAGGCTCTAGACAGGTCCGAACCCTCACTAAAATTCGTGTTAAAATAATTGTTTTAGAGAAAAAATATATAGTAGTTAGAAATAGATTTTTATTTTATGAAAACGCGACGCTAACTTTTAAACAATAGAAGAATGTAAGTCCGTTGACCATTTCCGGTTGGAGATTGAATTAAATTTCAATTTTGACCTCTCCCGCTCCCCGAAAGGTTTTGAATTGTCATCAGGTGATGAGGAGAGACCAATCGGAAAGGGTAATCTGAGAGAAAACGGACAAAACTCCGGAAATTCACAAACGCGACGGCTTCTTCTCCCGAAAGTTCCAAGTGACGGACCTGTTGTTGTGTGTGTGTCTCGCACTCATCTTCGTCTCCATCTCCCGACCTCGGATCGACATCTTTCCATCAACGGAAGTCGACCGCATCGTCCCGGAGTCGTTGAGACGTGATGGAATGGTTCATTCGCGAACAAGGGACACTCCTTCAAGATGGGACTATCTTGGAAAGGAGGGGAAGACCCAGAGACCGCAGCCACCACAGAACTTCCAAGATCGCGGAAATCTTGTAAGCTTCTTTCGTGTTTAATAAACGGTTGTGTTGTTTGTAAACGAAGCATCTATCTCTGACTCAACTGCTTCCACATGTCATTGATTGTTACTGCTCGGCAGTCCAAACAGCAAGGGAGACGATGACGACATATATCACATATTATCATTCATTGAGTTTTCTTTATTTCTCCCCCCCCTCGGCCCCCACAGTTGGATTAATTCTAATTGGATTTGTAGATATGATCTATAGTCATTGGTATTAGATTAATTTTAATATATTCCATATTTATGCTGTGATGTAGCCTCCTCTCCACAAGTCAATGGGAGGATTGTATTTACTCTTACCAAGCAATAATTCTGATGATCAGTACCAAAGAGTAACTATGTGATTGGTATACATATTGAATTGTCAATTCTGTTGATACTGAAAGCTCTGGCCAGACCAAAATTAAAGGTTTGGTGATGAGTATATTGGTCATTTTTATTTCACTACAGAGTAACTTATTGTTAGGTATGAAATAAAGTTCATACAATAATAGATTTGCAAGTCTTAGAAGAGAAACCATGTATAAAACATGTGTTATGTAATTAGTTTGTAGAATTTTATATAAATTGCATTCTCAGTTGTTCGTTATTATATGAACGTTTCCAATAATCAGGATATAAATATTGATTGTGAAGTGAAGTTGTATATATGTAGAATTACCAAATTGAATTTTATATATATTTTAAAATATTTGTTGTGTTAAATCAGATTATTTTTCAGTTTTTGTTCTTTGATTTTATTGGAATTATTGAAAAATTTCTATAAAATGATTTATGTATTTATTTCCTTTTTACAATATAGATAGAAAATTTTACTGTTTCTTTCTGTGATGGAAGAGCTTTGTGTTATTTGATTCATCATTATCATCCTTGTCTGCTAAAATCAGAAGAAATTAAATCAAATACCACACAAACATTTTGGGCTGAAGAAAAAACTGAACTGGATGATTCTTTTGAAATTGCTTCTCGAACTTATGAAAATAGTAAGACATTTTATTGTAATTGTAACTAATCTTAATATATTAAAAAATATATTTTCTAATATCTAAATATTTTTTTGAGACTTGGAATGGAAAATTTGATATTACTAATATAATAGCTCTTTGCATGCACGTGTGTGTGTATGTGTGCGAGGGTGTGAATTCCTTATAATTCCTACTGTCTTTGTCCAATATAGATGAAATTTTGCATAGATGCTTATTGTTTTGACGAAAAGTATAAGGTACTTAGAACAAACATAAGAAGAAGCAACATAAAATAATGAATACAGATTGGTCTTCTCTTGTCTTCAGGCAGCAATTCGAAACTTTTTGGAGTGCAGGAGATGTCGACATCAGCACTCAACGCAGTATATACTGATTGGACATTATTCCTCTGAACTTTGAAACTCTTCCTTGTAATCCCAGCCTTTTATTTTTCTGACAGAAGGAATTTTTTTATAGTATTCGCGAGACTGTCAGGCAGCCATTTGTTAAGTTTTGCATCGGTTTTTATTTTCAAAAGGTGAGAGTATAATAGCAAAGGTAGAGAGTGGGCAGAAGATGATTGATGTTGCTGGGCACTATGGCTTGAACAGGTCTACTGTAGGCTGCAGTTCAGTCTTATCTAAGAAAGATACAGTATAATCAAGAAGACTCAAACAGCTAAAGGACTAACAAAAGTCATATCTGAGAAATAAAGAACATCGAAGAGTTCATAATGAAACCTGAAACAAATCTGACGACAGAAGAACGCCACGAACCCTTGAGTGAAGAACACCAAGAAACTTGGCGAAATATGTTTTCTTCTGAAAAAGAGGATTAATGCCAATATTTGCTAATAAAGATCTTTTGAAGAAGTGGGGATGTCAGATCAATGGTCTTAGAATGGCATATAAACCAGGTTGAGGTTAATAGGCTTGGGGATCTCTACAATTACAATGCTATTAATTACTTCTGAAAAATCCTGAAAAAGAGAGAAAAGCAATTGACATTATACAGATTCTTTAACCTCCACAAACGGAAAAAAACATGACTAATAAAAATGCAAGACTGAGTATGTATGTATTTTTATTATTACATATAAATAAACGTAGTAAGAAAGTATATGTTTTTTTTAATTTTTAGAGTCTCCAGAATGAATTAATCAAATTCCCATAAAAACCTATGGTAAATCAATAATCGGTTAACAAACAATTCGGATAGCGAACAAAGTCTTGGAACGGATTATGCTCATTAACCCATTGTATAATATCATTTTAGATGCTCATTATGGCTATATACTGTATAATTTTCTTCACTTTTAGAAACATGTTTGTAGAAATAAAAGTTAGTTTTTGAATTTTTAAATTTAAAAATATTAATATTATACATATTACAGGATGTAATGACAATTTCTCTCTTCTCAGAGATTTTGTAAATATTGATTTTTATGTAAGCAACATATTATTTCAGTATCAAATCGTGTTTATTCCTAAAAGCACACCAATTGTATATTGGTAATTTGTATGACTATTTTTTTTTTCTGTAGACACTCTCTCATTTGAATGGAGAACTTCAAACCAATATCACTAGTTTTTGATTTGATGGATGCCATTTTTACTTTACCCATTGAATGAATTGCAAGAATTGTTTAGTGAGGCTCTTTGAAAACACTTTCTTGAAGCTTTGCCTAAATGTGCTTAGTGGATTAAGGTTAGGGAAATTCTCTAGTCAGTTCTCTTATACTGTAGAGAAGCTTTTCTTTGGCATTTGCATTGATTTATGTGAATTGTGACAATGCACTGCAACCATTTCTTACATAGGGAAGACTGCTTCATATGGAAGACTACATATTTAACATAAGCTGGCACAATCTTATTGATAGTGTCATCAACTGTAGCCTATTCTTCAACAATTATCAAATCAGTGTGTCCATATCTATAATGCCTTTTGCCATCATAACCTTAAGATTAAATTTTGATGTGGTAAGATGAGAGATGTCTGGATATCTTGTTCAAAATTCAAATTTTGTCTATTTGTAGTTGGATAAAGTTCAATTGGAGATTCATCACGTAATGCAAGCACGTGTTCACTGATGAATCTCCTATTGATCTGGTTATCATCTGTGAATCCTTCTGTCACCATTCTCTGTTAAAACTCTATACAGATAATTACATTTTTGTGTTAAACATTGGCTTCACTTTTAGTTCGTAAGCCTATTTGCCCCACTCTATCTTGAAACAGTCATATGGCTGACCCTTCTTTGCCTGGCTATTCTGATTATTATATACCCATCATTGGATATATAATGATCAGAATAATTCAGTCCTTTGGCTACATATTGAATGGAAGATGCCTGGATGGCAAGAAATAGAGAAAAACTGAAAAATTTTCAGTAACAAACATATTAAAGAACAGAAACAAATGAAATTTGATTATTCAATCAATGAGTGCTAATAAAGAATAATAATTGAACTTTTAGAGAAAATGGAGTGAAGAAAAAATTGATGCAGCTGACAAATAAAGCAAAATATTTAATGAAATGCACAAAATGGATCTTGAATTCTAAGATTTTAATAATTTGAGAGAGTTAGTCTCTTGTTTGCCAGGAACTACGACTCTTGTAGAAAGAATATTTTCGCTTGAACCTTGCGGTAAAAAAGAACAATCAAAATTGAATATTCAAACCACAAAAACAATATTAATTATGAAGCAAAATTGCAACTTACAATGCAATAAGTTTTATAATAAAACTGAGTGACTAGAACTTAGACAAAATAAGCTCATCTGAAACATTTGCTTGGTTTGATTCTAGAAAACATTTTACATGAATTTGACTATTAAATTTAATATCATTGTAATAAAGATAATATTTTTTCATTATTATATGTGAGATAGCCAAGGACAAAGATCTTGATCTCCGCCACTTACAGGCACGCGATCGTGAGATCGGTTCTCTTACTTTTATAGGAGGGCGGTAAATACGCGAAACCGATCTAGACTGCGAAGTCCAGATCTATGTCAGGATTCCTAGACACCAGTTTATCAGTTGTTTTACATGCGGATAAACACGCGTGGGGGAAATCCTATTCCGATAATAATTGAGAGACATTTCTTTATAAAATAAACAAGAATAAATTTAATAAATCATAAACAATGTAAACTAGTACAAAAGGAGAGATAATAAATGAGAATTCCAATCTATAAGTCAAGAGAGATACGGACTTATACTATAACTGATATGAGGTCGAGAGAGAGAGCTCACAAAATCATTTAAGAACATACAACCTGATCATTGTCTTTAAACTTTGGCTCTGGGTATGAAGTAGTTGTTCACTTCCAGAATACTCTGTCTTCTTTCCTCTGGAGAGATCAACTTAACTTGATACATTCATAACTTTAGACTTAATCCTTCGTATATTGTATAGCTCGATAGCATAGGCGTTGGCCTTCAGGAGCAAATACGTATGGAGTCCTGACTCTTCTATGTCTGTCGATGAACTCCCCGAATTCTGATAAATTTCCTCTATATCTCATGATTTTCGACCAATCATCTGCCAGAAACTCTTTCATGTGAACGGATGAATGGGGAATCAAAGAGGGGTGGATAGTTTCCATCTGAGCGAGATTTTTAGCGGATAAGGGAAAAACAGAGGATGTACTAACTTCCCTGGAAGAAAGTAGCATCTGTTATCTATCTTTCCCACGTTGGAAAATGTTACTTTCTCATCAAAATGAAATAATATTTTATGACAATATTTAACATTATTAATAAAATTACTGTTTTAGACCCAGGGGCCTTTCAGATCTCACATATATTTTTGAAAATAAAATCCTTTTCTAGAAATTTGTTTATTTTTTTGTAAGCCAATAAAGCAGTATTACTAATAATATACTAATAAAGTTTAATAACATTCATCTATACTACTTGAAATTTTCAGAGAGATCAGCTATGACTCTGCATCCCATTTTGGCATGAAGAAATTATGGTGGGCCTAGGTTCATTTAATTCTTTTATTTCAAATCATCGGACTTGAGTTTAACTTTACTTAGACTACCATTATGCTTTGCATCATAACCACATTGATGGTGATTTTCATCATTTTATCAGCAGTTTTGATGTCCAATTTAAGCTTTTGAGGAATTTTTCTTGTTTGAGAAAACTCTGATAGTTTCTAATGGAACAAATGTGTTTAAACTGTCTGTAGGAAATCATTATTGTTACCTGAAATTACCCGAGTTTTTTATTATCGAAGTTACTCCGTGATCCACGCGACCTTGGATAATTGGTACTCTACTGTTTAATACCCATTTGTCTCCCTTCATGTTAATTGTTAATGTTAAATATAGCAATTTAATGAAAGAGAAATGTGTAGTTTTAAACTACAATATTTGTTCAAATTTTTTATAATTAAATATATGTTAATTTCTTTTAGATAGATCTAAAAATGAATATATAGAAGAATTACTGAATAATGAGAGACTCAATATTAAGCTTGCCTTTGATAAAGTGAGTTTTTACATTTTTAATTCTATAAAAATTTATTAATCATGATTTTTATCAATTATAAGAATTCCGATAATTTAGATACCAATTTTCAAATTTAATTTAAAATATGACAAACTGAATATTAATTACAGTAGAACAGAATTAATACAAAATAATAATAGAAATAGAATTCAAAAGTAACATATAGAGACTTGATTCATTAGATATATTAAAATTTATTATTAAAATTTCTTGTAATAAAAATGACTGAATTCAAACTAAATTATATAAAATTTATCACAACACAAGTAGGAAATTACATATTTAAGTTTGTTTTATTTGCTTTTCTATAATAATATAAGAGAACTAGATTTTTGGAGCATATACTCTCTCTCTCTCTCCCCTCTCTCTCTCTCTCTTACATGAAGGCTGGTTCATACTGTATGAGAACAGAAAACAGCACTAAATAGAATCAGTGCTAAGCATTTCTAATGATATATTTCCATTCTCTTTTGGTTAGCAAGAAAACTTTACAGAAGTTCTACTTTTGTCTCTATTGGTAGCTTATAATTCTTTGTCCTTTAACACGATGACTGTTAATATTGAAATGAGTAGAATTAGAGTAGAATTAACTCTGGTGGACTTATAATTCATCATTTATCTATCTTAATTTAATCAAATCCAAATAGATATTATCATTACACATATATTTAAACCTTACCTAAAATATTGAAAATGCACTTTGGGATCACTTACCTTATACAATATTCTCTGCTCTCTCTTCTTGAATTAATTAACTGTACTCTTGTTTTTAAGTATTTTAGAACTCTGGTATACTTTCAAAGCATGCTTTTAAGATGCATCATATTTTAAACTGCACGTATCAAATCTGTGCATATGTTTTTCTTTCATTGTTTTGAAGTATGAACTAGCCTTAAGTTTTTTGTCTAAATTTAACCATCCAATAAACAATGTAAGTAGATATTTTACTAGTTAATAACAGAGAAATTCAAAAACTGGTAACAGATACAATATTATTAATTCTTGTCTACAGCAATATTTTTAATAGAATTTGGAGTTTATTTATAGTCTCAATTGTAATTTTTATATTATTGCCCAAAAAACTCAGAATCACTTCTTGTGACATAACTTATATAAACAACCAAGCCTGAATTTAATTAATATATATATGTTTAAATGCTTGATTTCTGGGCTGTAAATAGGCTAGATAATAATTAACAAAATAAAGTAATTTGGTCCAAAACTATATACTTAGGTAACCATCTTGTACTAATTTAATAATTCAGAATAATCTGAAAAGAAAGTTTTACTTTGTAAGTGGTCTGGCCGGCACTCTAGCCTCAATTTGATTGTCGTCTCCAGACTTATTAATATAGAATTGTATAATCATGCAGATTAATTATCGTGTAATCTTCTTATGATCAGATTTCTTTGTTTTCTCAATTATTATCTAGCCCGAAAATTCAGCATCTGAAATATTTGGTCTGTTACTGCTTAAAGGATTTCTAAACATGGTTTCAATTGATCATTAAATAATTTTATAAGTATAACAGTTAATTTTAATCATCTATTATATTTTAGATTCAAGAACTTGGTGGTATACCCATCACTACTCAACCAAGTTATGTTTCTAATACAATACCAGATGAAAAAATAATGATTACTTTAGTAGCATATTTGAATAGTCGACTGATGGACTTGAGTCAGGAAATTCGTGCTGCTAGAATTATACAGCTTGCTTGGAGACGTAGGAAACTTCAAAAGCAAATAAAACAAAGAGAGGTGAGCAAAACATTAAATAAATTACTTTGGAAAATAATTTTGCATACATTTCTATATAATTTTTTTTACAAATATAGTAGGACATTGATTATCCAAATCAATTGGGATCAAGCATAGTTGGATACATGAATGTTCAGATAATCGAACATTGACCTATTTATTAACTAGTGTGGACTTGCATATCATACAATACAGTAGCAGATAAAATGAATTAAGTGTGGTGCAATATCTTATTTGCAAAAGTAACAGCTGCTTTTTCTTTGTATCAAGGTTGATTTTTGCTTTTTGTAGTGAGATCTCTGACATGTTTCAGAAGTAACTGTAGGACAATATTCTGATTGTTGTTTGGTCACAGCGTTGCTGTTTTCATTCATCTATTTAAAACATACATTTAAGGCTTTGTTTTTAGCAATCCAAGGAAACATAAGAAATGGAAACGAAAAAAAAAAAAAAGATTGGTTTGAATTGGATTAGTAAGATATGACAATGCAACACGTGGATCTTCCAAGGGGAAATTCCTCTTGGGAGGACTTTCTACGGGAAACTTACTCCTATTTATGTGTTAGATGTGTGAAGAAAACCCAGAAAACTCCACATGCCATCTTATCAGTTGGGCATGAACCCACTTGTTCAGTCATTTTATTCATTCGGTTACTAGTTGAAGAGAGAGGAAAAGAGGAAGGAGAAAGGTTATAATATTTGATATTTTGGATAATTGATGTTTGAATAATCAATGTTTCACTGTAAATGATGATTTTAGAAGTTTAAAATTCTCTCTAAAATTTCCAAAATAGAAATTATTTTATAATATTTTTAATAAACATAGTATAAAAAGGTCAAATGTTAGTTTTGTTGAATATAAAAATAAATAGTAAAAAGTTATAAAATATAAGGTTGTTTTTTTATTTCTAATACATATAATTGACATAAGCAAAAGATTATAATTGCCAGATTGTTATTGAGTACATATATTAATTTAATGTATAAAAATTAAAACATAATCTTGTAACAGTTGTATGCATATGGCATATTTTTATCACATGACTGTTGCACAAGCTGTGATGTTTGCCCCAAAGAAAGGATGCAAAAATCCTAATTGGGCACAGAATTTTTTCACCTTCAATAGAAAAATTGAAATTTATGTATTCTTTTATAAATATTTGTGTTTTTGTAATTCAATTTTTTTTTGTTTTGATTTTACTGATTATTTGTAGAAAAATTTATTATTTTTTGTTATATTCCTATTGACATTTGAAACATTTTGTTTACATAAGTAGGGAGAATGCATATATTGAAACAACTTTAAAGGAAAACATGACTAAAAAAGTTTGCACGCTCCTAGCATAGATGATTATTAACTTAAACAAATATTTTAAAAATAAATTATCTTTAATAAAGTAAGAATAAATACATTATATTTTATAATATAAAATGCTAAATCCTTTCTGTTTTTGTTCAATCAAGTTATTGTATTAAAGTCAAACTGAAAAGATTATTAAATTATTATAGTAATAAATACAGATGATATTCAAATTATAGAGCAAAAAATCCAAAACATAAAAAGCTAAAGAATAAAATTACTTAGTACTTGGACAATAGTCACCTATTGTCCTTCATTTGATTCAGGTCTTAAGTACACTGCCATAAAAACAATAGCATTCAAAACAATTATTTGGCAAATAGAAGAAAAAAATGGGGAAGGAAGCAACTAGGAATCCAAAATCCATTACTCATTTTTGTGCTCATTTTCATTACATTTTCATTACTGACTGCAATTAGTTTTCCCTGAAAAGTTTCATCAACAGGCGGATCCAAGAAGGTGCAGAGTGTGCGTACACACTCCGTAAAATTAAAATTCTAAGTAGAAAAGAGTTTTCCATAGTACAACTACAAAGCTAGATTTGCAAGTACCAGTTTCAATCCCTTAGTGCATTGCAAACTGGCTTATAATTTCCCCAGCAGGTAGCATCCTAAACTTGCAAATTCCACTACTAGAATAATTGTGACCTATTCTTAGTGACACTTGTCTTTTTGCCTAAAGGTGCGCAAACACGGGCTGACTGATAGCCCGGCCAACTCGTCACTGGTGACGCAGACTGCCAATCAATTATTAGCCCACCGACGTACAACTTGCACACTATTTAACTGTTGATCTAAGCATAAGCCGACCCGATTTAAAAAAGCGACAAGCTATTGCACAAAAGTCTCAATAAAAGCATTGACAAAATACAAAAAAGAAGTTGCTGCTTTACGTGTAATTGAGAAAGACATTTTGCTTTTCTGTGGCGTAAGTTTTCTGATAAAATGTTTGTGAATAACATTTTATCAGAACAAAATAATTTATGTGAACAAAATAACGTGTTTGTGAACAAACTTTGTTGAAATTTGACAAAACGACTGTGATACAAAAATGAAATGGCTACAGTATTGCTAGATTTGACACTAAAAATAGCACAAATTTTAATAATAATTTAATTTTGTACATTCATTTGAATTAAAATTCTAGATAGTTTAAACATTTATTTAAAATACTATTGAAACTTATTCCATTAAAAATCTAAAGTGTATTACACTTATATGAAAAATAAATTATCTTGTTCATAGAAAATCATTTACAGTTCTGTCTTAAATACTTCTATGGCAGTTAATAGGTCTTATTAAAATCTTTACTGTGAAATATAGTGAAAGTTTTTATATAGCTTTTGAAATATAAAAAATATATAGTAATTTTTGATTACAAATATTTTATATGAAATAAAATGTACAAAGTATAAAGAAATATATGTATGAATATATATGGTCTGTTACTGCTTAAAG